TAGTTAATGCCTTAAAAATGGGCAAATATTAACATAAGACGCACAGTACTCGCTCATACTTTCATAGTCACATAATTCTTATAAGCTGACATGAAATTTCAATTATAAATTATCTATCACAAAGTTTTAACAAAATTGAGAAAATTCTACTAAATTGTCATTCATTTTAAAAATACTTTACCTAATTAGAGACAGGTCTGTGCATTTTATTGAAATATTTTTAGAACTATTTCTCTTACATGTCTTAATGCAACACTTAATTATGTCAAGGTTCTTTGATTGTTAACATGTGCTTTATTTAAAAATTATTTAATAGATTTTAATCTTAATTTTCAGCAGCTAAATAGTATCATTGTTAATTTTCTGTCCACTTGTAGTGGGAAAGTGTTGCAGGGAGGTACACTAAACTTTCTTAACTTTCCTTTTAGCACACAAATAAACAGTATGACATGTTAATTTTTTTTTTCAGTACAAGACCTTTGTGATGCAGCCAAACTGAACTGCACACATGGATGTAGTTTGGATAACAATGACAAACCATATTGTATATGTCCTCGTGGCTATAGCAGAATAGTTCAAAATGGAAATGTAACTTGTTTTGGTAAATGAATTTTATAACCACCTGCTTTCTTTTTTACATCAAAACAATACATTCAAAGTTTTCTAGCTCTCATTGATTTATTTATAGAAGATGCTTTTAATATTTGTAGGAGAACAAGATTACCTAAACTTTTGAAAATCAATACATATTTCAATATTATTTAAAGAAAGCATGTTAGTAAATCAGCAGAAGATATGTAAAAAAAATAGTTGATTTTTTAAATTTCTTTTTGATGGAGAAGGTATTAGCAATTCTTAGAAATACTATTAAAAATTAAATGATCAATAAAAAATTTAATAATGGAATAACAACATATTTTTTCAGCTAAACCTGTTAAGTATGATAATGTATTTTAAAATTCAAATAATTTGAATATAATTATTATAGTGAAAATATTTACTAAATTAGTAGAAATCAGATTTTAAAATGTTGAATTTGCATGAATTGTATCCCTTATTTAATGATATAAATGAACATTTGTTAATATCTAAAAGATATCAATGAGTGCAGCTCACCAGAAAATAACAGCTGTTCATACAAACCTGGATGTAACAACACAGATGGTGGCTACACTTGTTCTTGTCTTGCTGGTTTCAAGTTGGATAACAATGGTCGAAATTGTCTGGGTTGGTTTTCTTTATTATAATATTCTGTGAATAAATTTTAATTGAACCATAAAAAGATATAAGAAACACATGTAGCATCAAAAACATAAAGAAGTAAACATTATTTTAAACTCTGTAGCATGTTCTGGAGATACCTGGGGTGTAGGTTGTGCCCATAACTGTACCTGTGGGATCGGAGCTGAGAGATGTGATCCTGTCAAGGGTTGTGTTTGTAAGACTGGATATACAGGTAGTTTAAATAGCTTATATACTGTAAGTGGTTTATCAGATCTAATAAATCATATTTACCTCTATTTTCTAAAAAAAGTATGTCACTATTAAAAAGATTATATGTCAACATTTAAAAAGATTATATGTGACCATTTTAAAAAAATTATATGTTACAATTTTAATATATTAAATGTTAAAGATTGAAAACCAAATTAAAGAATAACACAAGTGTTGTTTTTTTTAATCTAGGAGAGCACTGCCAAAATGACATCAATGAATGTACAACTGGAAACTTGACATGTAAAGAAAGACAAGTTTGTGTCAACTTACCTGGCAGTGCCACATGTATATGCCAGGCTGGCTATCAGTTTGATAGTCTTGGTCGGTGTGTGGGTAGGTCTTTTTTTTAAAAAATATTAATATATAGCACTTTTACCAATAAAACAATTTTTATACAATAATGTGTTACCTTTTTGTTTGCCATTACAGATATCAATGAGTGTTCTGCTAAAAACAATTGCACTCAAATATGTACAAACTCAGAAGGTTCATATAGTTGTTCTTGTTATGCTGGTTATACTTACAATAGTATGAACAACACCTGTCTAGGTAAACCTAAATTTATTTTTATGTATTATAAAAAAATTAGCCCGCTACTTTTCTATATCTATAAAATTGTAACTATTTTACTGATTACACTGGTTTAAATCTTAATGGCAATATTTAAAGTTAAGTTACTTAAATAACTTGTAACAATAGTGCTAATTAATTTCAATTTAAATTACATTAATACTCAATCAAATATCAGTTGTGTATTGTGCTAGTAGAGATACATTTTTAAAATGAAAGATGAGATAATGATGTGAAAGTTGAACAAATTATGTATAATTTTCCTTTAAAACGATTTGATTATTTTATTTAAATTTTATCCATTACAGACATAGATGAATGCCTATTAGGGAAACATCAGTGTGACAAAATCTGTACTAACACTGATGGAAGCTATCGTTGTTCATGTACAGAAGGTCTTTTCCTACAGCTCGATGGTGTTTCTTGTGGAGGTTAGCTGTGTTCCTTTTGCATTATTCTATATCCCCAAGACTCGCACAAAAACATACAGTGAAAGATCGTTCTCTTTCTGTGCACCTAAACAATGGAATTCTCTTCCATTACACATCCGCAATATACCGACCATCACAACCTTCAAAACTGCACTCAAAACACATCAATTTAATCTCTACTATCATGACTGATTCCCACCTCTGACTGTAAAACGATGGTACTGAGTGTTGTCCATGGCTTGAGATGTAAATAGTTTTATATATACATTTGTTTTGTTTTATTTAATTAATGTATGTCAATTAATTATTTCAGATTTTTATTAATTGTATGTACAGCGTGGTGAGTCCAGCCCTAGGCTGGGGTACCACGCTATATAAAACCACATATAATAATAATAATATAATATATTATTTAAGTTAACAAGTTTTTTTTTTGTTTTTTTTAATACAAACTTTTCGATTACATTTTATATTATTTTAAAAATTGAAATAAATTATCTGCCACCTAAACTAACTTACTTTAATCCAGCATAATAATTGTTCTCATAATTCATTAAAGTAAAAAATACTTCTATTTAGCAAAAAAAAATTGCTATACCATATAGTAAGATAAATTAAAAATAATTATTTCATTAGGGTGAGCGATAGAATTTAAGAAGTATTAAATTCAATAAAATATTTGGTTTTAAATGAAATAAAATAGCAAATAGATCAAGAGGTATACAAAAAAATCCTTAATTTTTCATTATAATTTTTTTTTTAAAAATACTATGTAATGAATTTTAAATCAGTAACACCAGAACCTTTAAAAGAATTAATTTAAAAATCCTTTTTGAACTTTATTATCAGCTGACAAAGCATGTAATACCAGCCACTGTTCTGAGAAATGTGCCAACATTAATGGCAGTGACACTTGCTTATGTGGGAAAGGAAAAGCACTAGCAAAAGACAACACTTCATGTGATGGTAGAGAGCCTTATAATTACAGATATGTTTGTTAAAATTCAGTTAATCAATCAGTTTTTTGTTGCTGGATTAGCCCCTGTAATGCATTTTGTTCGCTATGATATAGGTTACTATCTTAAACAATTTACAATGAGATATGCATACTGAGATGAGAAATATGATCTTTATCTATCTTCTTGCTTTGATTCTTATTTAATATTAGTTTTGTTTTATTAATCTCAGATTTGGATTTGTGTAAACTCAGCTCTTGCTCTGAAGGATGTGTTGAAACTAAAGGGAATAAAACTTTTGAATGTTTATGTAACATTGGTAAATACCTGGCATCTGATGGAATCACTTGTACAGGTAAATGTAGACATTTTTAACATGAATTGGTTTTGGCCTCATATTTTCATATAAAAAAGGAAATTGAGTAAAACAAAATTATGTTTAAGTGAACCAAAGGTTAATTTTAGCAAAGTGTGTTAGAATCATTGCAACTTGTTTAATGAAGAATTATCAAACATAATGAAATAACAATAAGCAAATGGAGAAGAGCTGCTATATTATTATTATTTAGGCATTTTTGTATAGCGTTTACCTTACAGCTCTAAGTGCTTTACAATTATTAAAAATTTGCATGATCTCCAACCTCTCATTGTAAAGATTATAAAGATTGTTCATATTGTAACACTTGAAAATTTTTTAATTACCAAAGAACCGCTACACAAATGAAATCTATAACAACCTATGGAATACTATGTCTATAATGATGATGATGATGAAGGATGAAGCAGGAACAGCAGCAAAATTGAAGAGCATTTATTTAATTGACTTGCTGTTGCCTCATTTAAAGCAGGTCTTGGGGTGAATAGTATTTGTAATCTAAAAACTTGAAATGTTGAAATTTGATAGAGACGCCAACAATTAGCAATGCCAACAATAATATCAAGATGAAAAGAAAACAATAAGACAAGTTTTCTGTATTCATGCAAGTCCTGAACCCTCAACAAGAGAATCAAAATCTAAAAATCCTGATTATATACTGTAAGTTACTGCTGTGGGTAATAATGGATGGCAAGGAAAAACAAGTTTAATAATTCTACCAGCTACATAAAGATCCAACCACAGAAGTAAAAAAATTTGATCAACAATGCAATGGAAACATAGTTCATGGAGCTAAGATGGCAGTTATCCAAAAACAAAGAGGCAGAAAATGTGTCATTGCCAAAAGAATTTGAAATAGGTTGGTGGTGAAGATGCATTCATGGTGACCATGGTCCAATCAAAATGGAAGCATGTGGTGTTGAAGGCAAAAACTATCAATGAACTATAGGACAAATAAGATGTAGGAAAAAGATGGTCTGCAAAAGATTAAGTCATCTCATGTGTACTGAGCTCAAGGAAAATTTTATGAAGGAAGGAATTTTATATATAAACCGCACAATTTATTTAACTTTTTTTTTGTTAAAGATTCAATTTTTACAAATATTTAAAGAAATTTGCAATTAATAGTAATCTTCATTGATTAATGCAAAAAGAAATTATTTTCTTTCAGAGTGTATTAATGGAAAATATGGTATCAACTGTAACAATAGTTGCAGCTGCCAAATGTCAAATACCAAAACTTGTGATAATGTCAATGGAACCTGTGCATGTGTTAATGGCTGGAAAGGAGAAACTTGTACTATTGATATTGATGAATGTGCTGATCGCTCAGGATCATGTCAGGAACATTCTCATTGTCTCAATACAAATGGATCTTACATCTGTGTTTGTGATGATGGATTCATTCAGAAAGAGAACTTTTGTGCAGGTAAGCAATTGATAATTAATTTCAATATAAAAAAATGACTTATATATTTCTGCATACACCATTTTTGGAAAATGTATCAAATATCACTTTTTGAATAAAACTTTTTACAAATGTAAACTTCTTTTAGCCATTTGATTTGATGCACATGCATTTACAAGTATAACTATTACAAAAGTTAATTTCTTTGACTTTTTAATATTTTTGTTTACATTTTGGACAGATGAAAATAAGAGAGCTGTAAACTCAATGGAAATAGACTTTTAGAATATAGGGACCAGTTCATTTTGTTTTAATTGAAAATTTTATATAATTTTATAATAAAAATAAGGAATCATACATTTTATTGTGAATAAAACGTTTATTTAATATGATAACTATGTAAGGACTGGTAAAATTTGTTTTCAAAACATTTTTTATAGAGTGCGATGATAACTCCTATGGTCCAGTGTGTTCATTGCGTTGTTCATGTGGAGCAAATTTTAGATGTGACAAAACAAATGGAGTCTGTTACTGCAAGCCTGGTTTTAGGGGAGACAACTGTGATATTGACATAGATGAATGCAGTGAGGCCATTCATGGCTGTAATTCAGGAAATCACCAAGCTTGTGAAAACAGCATTGGTGGATACCAGTGTGTATGTCAAACCGGTTACACTAAAGAATGTGATCTTTGTGAATGCAAAGGTAGACTCAATGTTCCTTAAAAAAATTGTTTATTAATTATGTCAAAATTATTTATTTTACATTAAATGATTATGCTGTGATTTTACAAAGAGTCTAGTCATATAAATTAGGGGTCTCAATTTCATATTTACTATGTTTAGGTACGTAAGAAAAATAATCCCTTAAAATAATGCATACAGCTTAAAATTGGAACTAATGAATCCTCCTCTGAATTAAACTTTGTGTGGTCAGCTATGCAATGAATGAATGAAGATCTGACATTTACTTTTATAATCTGTGCAATTACAGTTGCACTGTTTTTCAACAGCTGTTCCTTAACATATGCCATTTACCTATTTAAAATCACAGAAACATTGTAATGTAGCTTTTACTATTATGCAGACTTCACTGAGTTGTTAATTCAAAATGTTTAGTATTGGTTAGTTTTCATTGTAAACACAGCCCTTTACAGTAAATATTTGTTTATTTTTCTGTGGCACTGGTTATCGCAATTCTAATGTGAACATTGTATCTAATATCTTTCACTTCTTTTTGTCAATGTCATGTCATGTGCTTGAGAAGAGCTTACTTGTACTATCATCAATTCATGTAGCCATATTAACATTTTAAAATATTAAAAATCTGTGTTATTTTTCCTACCCCACACAATAAAATTTACAAGTCTGGCTGTAACTCTGACTTTATTTTACCACAGATCTTCAACTCAGGCATACAGTTTCTGCCATCATAACATTGGATTACACATCAGGTTTTGATCTGACAGACAAAAATTCAAAGAATTACCAGGAGCTTTTAGACGCAACTGAAAAAGGAGTATGTCTTGTTATGTTTATTTATTTATGTATGCAAACAAAAAATGACAATGAAAATCATTATACAGCTTCTTTTTTTTTTTAATAAACTATTTTTTATTTCTAATTTAGTATTTGATCGCTGTTATGCAACTTTGGATGCCAAATAAACATTTACATAAAAACATGTAGACTCCATTTTTTTTTATAAATAACTAATGTTACTTCTTTTTTAAGTTGTTAGAGAGTTTTAAAAAGAAGGAGACATCCATCATCTCTGTGACTATAACTAACCTCAGGTACACTATTTATTTTTTCATTTAACAAAAAGTCTCTTTAAAAATAAATCAGGCAAATATNTATATATATATATATATATACATACATATATATATATATTATATATATATATATATATATTCATTTTTCTAAATATCCTTTATTGTCACTTTAAACATAAACCTAATGTACATGGCACTGATCATCCCCGCAGACAAGGAAGTCTTATTATTGAAGTGTATATTACCATGGCAACCAATAACACCACTGACAGGGAAAGTGAACTGAGACTGTCCAAGGTGTTGGTGGAAATAATGCAGGATGGCATTGGCATTACAATAAACAATACAGATGGAGTCATATCACATCTGATAATAAGTGGAGTAGAAAGTGAGTCTCTATTTACTTTTTTAAATATTTTAATTGTGTTTATTAAACTTTTATGTTCTTTTTACTGGAACTTAAAAAATGTAAGAATAATCAATGTAAAATAAATGATGTAATCATAAAGCCATGCGGAAAGATTAGAATAAATCTAGAAATTATTGAGGTAATTCTTTTTTTTTTTATAAATTTGTATCTGACATTTTTATTTTCTATGACCTTGACAGTATTGATTTTTTAAACATTTTTTCAAATGTTTTTTTAGAATAATTGATTTTAACTGATAAGTTTATTGTTGCCATTGAAATCAAGTGCCGGGTATTATAGTTTTTGTTCATATTTGTCTTACTGAACCTGGTGTAAAAAAAATTATTGAATTTTGTATGAGTTTTTAAAAACAATATTTTAAATTATTAATGAATTATATTGTCTCATGACTGGTTCAGTTTTTTCCTGAAAATGTTGATAAATTGTTAAATTTATCATATATACTCATCCATAAAATTTACTACCCATATTTCATTTCTCAAAAGGAATAAAGATGTTTTTTTATATACAAAATAAGCACAGAGTTTTCTGGGAATTAAGATGTGACAAGATGTAACAAAAAACAATTTTCGGATTAGCAGTGGCTGTTAAACCCAAATATGTAATGTACCATTTAATGCTGTGTTCATATCAAGGCGTACTTCCTCGTAATATGTTAACTTTGGATTTCATCTCTATATTATCATAACTCCAGTACATAATACTGACACACCTTGTGTCATCAAGAGCAAGATAGACCCATGCTCAGTTTTTTCTGTGTGTGTAGAAGAAGGGAAGGAAGCCATCTGCAGGTTAGTCTGACTTGTTTAAAATAAGCCCTAATTTGTTCTCACTAACTATGTGACTGCACATTTTTGTGTGTGCTTCTTTTACCACAAAAGGCATTAGCTAAAAGGATTATTGTTATTTAATTAAAGCATAACTGTTAATTACACACATTGTTTGTGTCTTATTGGTTAGTTCCTGGGATTGTGGGATGATATGGACATATTTATAGCAACTGTGGTTAGAAATGTCTTTGAGAATATTTGTTTTCAGTTTCTGTCATGTTGGGTTAAATATGTAGGGAATCATGAAAGTTTCCATTTTAGTAAATCTTCTGAAATAGCCATAAGACAATATTAAAAATATGAGCTAGCTCTAAAATTATTTTCTGGCAACTCAAATTTGAATTACCTTGGTGTCACATACCATTTTGATGTAGTAAATTTAAACTGTTTTAAGATTTGTTACATAGAATGAACAATATGTAACTAAGGACTGAGAAAAACAGTATACAAAGAAAAATGATACCGAAGCTAGTGATACTAGCAATTTTCAATTTAATTATACAATTGTATATCCATGTTAATTCAATGTCAAATATATAGAAACAACAAACTTTTCCCAATCAAGGGTGGGATTGGTAAGGAGTAACCCAGCACATTTACTTGGTGATATCAATATCAAAACAATTCAGGAGACAAGTTGAGGTGGCCAAAAGAGGTGGCCAAAAATAGGCTTACCTTATTGTCATATTACTTGATAATTGTATTGTATTTAAAAACTAATAAATAATATATTAAAAAAATAAAATATGCAATAATTATGAGGATATAGCTTACTTAACACATTTATATTCTTTTTAAAAAATGTATTCTTATGTTTCTGTTCATTTCAGATCCAAAGAAAGCAATGGTATTTACACTTTTTTTCATGTTTAATAAAATAGGTCTTAAATGGAACTCATAGGGTTGGTTTAATTGGTCCAAGTACAAATTTAATCTATCAGCCTGCTTCATTAAGCATGAACTATGCCTCATAGAGCAATAAGTTGATGACATTGTTTAAGAGATAAACCTTCAGGGCATATTATGATTTAAAATGTCAAATAGCTATCTCCCTGTTTATATAGAAAAAATTACTTAAGAAAGCTAGTTAAAACATTTTGACAGCAATTTTTTTATTGCATCTCTCCAGATTAAATTGAGGTCCTCATTCAGTTTCTTAATAATATAAATATTTTCTTAACCCAATGTTTTTATACAAAAAGATATATCATATATTTTCCACAAATTAAGAGCTTTTAATAGAATGCTTAGTTTTATAATTTTCAATTTTATAATGAGTTATTAATTCATACTTTCTTTTTTAAATAGATGATGATCTGAAACTCATTCTTGGCTTGAGCATTGGACTGTCTCTATTTGTTCTACTGACCACCATCATTATGCTTATTGTATGCTACTGTAAGAGAGACAAAAAGAAAATAGAGAGGTTTGAACCACACGTCAACAGAGCTATGAGCATACCAGAGGGTGAGTGGTCAAATAGTTTATGGAGTGTTACAGACTTGATCATTTCTTTTAATCCTATTATTTAAACTTGCTTACTTCAAGTTTACTTATTCTTTAACTTTTTTTGTATTTATTTACTTGAAATAATTTGCTAAACATTTTAAGTAAATCATTTGAGAAACATTTTGTACACATCATACAATGTAATTGTTGGAAGTGGTTAAATGTTTAGATTATTTTCATTAAAATTCATGACTCTTTTTTAAATGAAATAATTAAAATTGCAGGCATTATACTAATAATACTTGATAAGAAAATATCCATTGTATGTTTAAAATATAAGAAGCTTTAAATTTTGTTAAAAATTGTATTATTTCAGATTTGTATAACTCTGAAAAGACCCAGGATCCACCTGTTGAAAAGTAAAGCCAGCATATAAAAAGAAGTGATTATTTCACTGAGATTTAAAATATTTGACATTTTTTTCTTCTAAATTTAAGAATATTCTTTTCATTTTATAACAATGTTAAGTTGTTTAGATACAGAGTAGAAAATTAAATATTGATCTCATCATATGTACCGGTAATAAAAATGTATTTGTATTGCAACATTTCATTTGTTTTATTTTACATGGTTTCAATTAGTTTATATATTATGTTTTTGTCAAGATTTACATTCAGATTTCAGCAGGGAGATTTTTAAACACCATCCATAGATTTTATTGCCCTGTTATAAATATAAAATGGTATATGAGTAACTGCGTTCAATCAATGTAAATGTTATAAATAGTAGAACTAAATATGTTAAGCCTTGAAAATAAAAAACAAGACAATTAAGTGGAACTTTTGGCTAAATGCATACCTCAGCAGACAATAAAATAATAAACAACATACACATTTAAATAAAAAATAAAACAATTTTTTTTGAAGATCTCAAAGTCAATGTAGCTTAAAGTCCAGAACAGTAAGCGCTCTATAATATTGTTGGAAGCGGAGATTGCGTTGTTCAAAACTGAAACAAGCGTTCACAATTTCCTGTGGTGCGTACTATTACAGCAAAAGAATTGAAATATTATTGATGTACATTTTTAAAAAGCAAAAATTGAAAAGAATGGAAATAAAGGATCACTAGTAAGTGAGAATTGTATGGATTCTTTATGGTTATATGAAGCCCATAATCCTAATTAGTTTGATTTCATTCTTCACTTTCGTTGGTGTATTGGTAGGGCCTACAAGAAATTTTAACTGTTGTGGATACATCTCAAGTGTCCTTGTGCTCATTTCCGTTGAAATGAAATGAGACCGGGTATAGCTTGTTTTGTTCAATATCTCGAAGATGTTCAGTGAACCTAACAAAAAGCTTTTTTCCCCGTCTTTAATTTATTACAGAAACAATTTTTTTGGCAAACAGTGACATAGATCACATTTCGACTAATATATAGTGAATATATTCATATCAATAATTAGGGAAGCTAAAGTGTTTAGTTTCCATAACGTAGGGGCAAGTCCTACAACGGCTGCAAAACATTGAAATAGTTTATAGTCTCAACGCGAAAGGGGTCAGCTTGAATGCGACTGTGAATAAGAAGGTTTGTATCTCGTCTGAAGGCAGTAGGCAGTAGGTGATGGAGATGAGAAGAACATGACGATGCTTCAATAATAATTTTTTGGGCAATCCCATTGTAAGAGTGGTGGGTAATGATGAGGTTTTTTTTAATAAGTAGACATGTGTAAAATAACAAAAGATCGTTTTTTTTAAAATCTGAATATTTGCACATATAAATAAAAATATTCTGTAAAATAGCAGTATATGCCTACATATTACCTATAAAAAGAAAATATGAGAATTAAATATGCATGACAACTTGCAAGATTTAGATGAAATAAAGCCACAAAAAGAGATCTATCGGAATTAAAATATTTAATAAACTAAGCTTTTATGTGGATGCATTCAAACAACTATCGTTTAAATAGACATTTTGGTAATCTAACACGTCTGTAATGAGAATGGGCAATGGGAAGGCATCCATGGAGTCTGTGGTGACGAAAATAATATGTAGGCCTACCGCTGCAGCGATTAATTTTTAAAAGAATTATTCAAATAAATGGTTTTTTTTAATAATTAGTAGAATAATAATTAATTAAATAAAGAGGAAAAAACACTAATTTGTAGAATTATATAAAAAAATTGATAAAAACACTTCTTTAGTAGAATTCATAATATTGCTGAATAATAAAAATAAAGACTTACAATAAAACTTCTTACTTACTGAGGGTGCAGTGAATAAACATTACAGTTCAACTGACTAACAATACAAAACACGATCTTGAGCGATTGTCGTCTTTTGATAACAACAGGGATGATTTAAAATAAAATGAGTAAAACAGAGTATGGTTAAGCCTGAAAAAATAAACGCAACAAAACAGCGAACGTGTCGACAGAAAGCCTTCGTCAGCGAACAAAACAACAGAAAAAACGGTATAAAAATAAGAAATAGCACTTAGCTGGAAAGTTTGTTGCGTTTATTTTTTCAGGTTTAACCATACTCTGTTTTACTCATTTTATTTTGTACTAACCTGATTGCAGTCTCTCCCCTTATTACCCAGGGATGATTTAAGAACGCTAAGTCAACCATGTCAGCTAATTAGGTCAATATTTAAGAAGTAGAATGTATTAACAAAAGGAGTTTTAATTTGTCAGTCATGACATTTAACAAAAGGTTGACTCGAACTCAAAGTGGACATGGAAAATTTGCTGACAAGAGGGGGAGGGGGTTGAGTAATGGCGTAACTTGACTATGTGGTGCCGTGGGCCACTCAAGCCAAGGGCAATAACTCCAAAGGAGCGATAGGCATGGGAATGTTTTGTCGCAATTAGACATTTAAATAGTCCTCTACAGCTCAAAGTCAGCCGTTTGATTTCTGTCAGTTTGAGGCCTACTGGAAACTTCCTCATTTATCAGTAGAGAAAGATGTGCTGTGTGACGTGTTCACCAATGACACTGCCTGGAGAATTGGGAACGACGATAACAATCGGAAATCAGACACAACTATAAGGTGTAATATTTTTAAAATCTTCACGTACCATCTATAAATATATGGACATATATGGCACGCTACAATCCCTGAACAACAACGTATTGTGCACGGATCAGGTAGAAATGAGGTGTAGGCCTACATGCTGGTTTGATTTATGTTCTTATGTGCTATTTTATGAACAGGTTTGTTTTTGTTTTTAAAAACAAACTGTTTTCTTCATATTTCACGGCTGTGATGTTTTTGTCTATTTATAAAGTAGGTGTTGGTGCGTGTTAACCTGTCCTGGCTTTCATGACATGGTTTCATTACAACCTCAGGGTTCAGCCTATATAAAACCGTGTCGATGGTTGGCCTGAAACTTGGGCTTTCAGAAAGGGAAAGAATGTTTAAACAGGGGTTCTCAAACGTTTTACACAGACCCCCCCCCCCCCCCCCCCCAGAAGATAATTTAGCAAGGTCGTCCAGTTTAGAGAAGACAAAAGGGAAA